CCCCAAAACCCCAAAACCCCTTGAAGATAATTTAAATCTGATAAAGGCTTAAATTAAGATCAATAAATACTATATTTGATTGTTTTATTCTATTGAAGTAATAGATATTAAACACAAATGCATTAATCAAATTCTATTTGCAACCATTAAGAATGTTGCCTAAAGTAGTAAAATTGATCAGATTTTACACAAAGTAGCAGATTCAAGATTAACAGCAGCCTCCGTTGGCTGAACAACAACCAGAATTGTTTGCTTAGGAGTCGAGAATTTCTTAGGTCCTTCTAGAATCCGCTTAAATTTTAAATCCAGAAACTTAATTCTATTTCCCTCTCTCTACTAGTTTTACAGTCATTGACCTGAATGATTCATCAACTTGATAGCCATTTCTAGCGCTCGTTTCAAAATATATCACATCTTTACATTTTTCCATTATTTACTCAATATCTAAGATTAAAAGTCAATTACAAGGCAATTATAACTTACCTTTATCAGTCACTTCTTTAAGGTCCAAGTCTCTTTTATTGCCTAGCACTAGAATCGTGGGATTAGGGACGCTTGCAGTTTCCCTGATTTAATTGATCCATTTGAATACATTATCAAAACTTTGTTTCTTTGTAAAGTCAAAGATGCAAACGAAACCTTAAGCACCTCTCTCAATCATTATACATTGCAATTAATATAGCTTACTTAAAATAGCTGCTTACCAAGGAATTGAATCTATCCTGACCTGCTGTATCGAACTAAATGAATTTATATGAATACGATCATTAATATACAATTTAAAGTGTAACTGATTTTCCGTTTATGTTTATCTTTTTAAAATTCTATAGGATAATATACTTTCTAGTAAATTACAAAGTCAAAGCCCAGTGTAGGCTAATGCTCAAGACTAAAATGTTGATCCTAATAATGAGGTTTATTTATTCAATTGATATTTACAACTAATCGATGTACTATGCTGGTCTTGCCAACTTCTGAATCGCCAAGTAACATTACTTTATAGATGAACTCAGTATTACTCGATTCCCTTCTTATTTTTTCTTAGATCTTTTTGGAATCAATTTCATCATCTTCATTAATAGAGCCCTTGCTAATTAATCTGTTTTTCTTCATTTTAAATCTATTTTAATATATTATTGAGTAATTATAATATATCTTACTAAAAATTTTATATTTTTACTTTTGGGGTTTTGGGGTTTTGGGGTTTTGGGG